GAAACATCATCCAGTGAGTATTACTCTATCACCATTTCTGTAAGCTTACTAGTTTATACGAAATATAAATTACTATTACTATTATCATTACATGCATATACCCAATAAACAAATGATTATGGACTTCCCCTTCCTATCACTATGATTATTCACTGGTAGGGTTAAGGTGGCAAGTGTGTGATTATTTAAAAATATATATGACTTACAGAAATGAGAGGACGAAGCTGAAAATAAAATTAAATGAATACCGTTGATGATTATGTGATATAATAAAAACTTGGTAATGATTCGACTTTCAGTGCATATTCTCAATCAACCTCAGAAGTCAAGTCTCTCCTCAACCTCAGACTGTAAAGAAAGTATCAAGATTCTTGGAATTCTTTTTCAATAGAGCTGGCAGAAAACAATGTCATACTAACACTGCATAACTAACTACGAGTGATTTAGTAACGGAGATTTTACCTAACAATGTGAAATGACACTATGCACCGATAGTCTGGTTATCAATAAAACATAACATATTGAATAAACTGAGGTTGGTTCTTTCATTTGCACAATTTAAAATTAGCATGAATGCACCTGATTAAATTTAAAGAAAAGCAGATAACTTACACAAGCCAATCATACAACTTCCTGTTCGTAGAATGTAAGAAACACATTTAACATGAATGAATACAGTAAAAGTAAGTAAGTTTGTTACACACATATTGTAAGCGCAATATCGCTTGAAATTAAGTCACGCGTTGACTTCATTCAAGGATGGGAACTGAATTGATCCTACACATATGTTTTTTGAAATTCCTGAATGAATACGTCATCGAAATAGACCTGACTTCCTGTGTGATTATCATTTTTAATAGAAGGATGGAAGATACTCAAGTGGTGTTCTTGAAGTCTTCAACATTTCTATGGTGGCATAAACTACTGATTGACTAGTGTGAGTAGTCAGGTAGCCTTCATATGAACCAGTCGTGTATTGCTAGCCGGGTAGAAACGGGCTAAACAAAGTGGCAGCAGCAGTAGCACCAGTTATGTTTGTATAGAACGGTATTGCTGAATCATTTCCACATTGTGTCCTGAGACGAAATTGCGGAATGAGTTGACACAATATTCGGTGAAAAGACTCTTGTCTCAAGCTGTTCACTCGTATGTATATGGTTTTTAACAGATTATATCCGGTGAGGAAATTAGAACAATGTGGCTGATATATGAAATAATAATAGTAGCAGTAGTTGAATGAAATGCAATTAAAATATTTGTGATTATAATCATAGTTAAATATCAAGTGTCAAGTGGCAAAACAATCAATGTCACCTATAGAATAATACATAAGGTGTATAGATATTGGAAATAGGTTAAAATTATCGGGTAAGAAGGCTATCTTAAAATGTTACACAACATAGTGTGCAATTTGATAAGATAGAATTCAAAATATTTCAGATTTAGAATGACACGTCTGGCTTGAATTCCTGAATGGCCAAAGCGTCCACCATATCTATAAGCTTATACCGAAGAAAACGCGACAACTCAGCACGAATTCAACAGGTCATCTAGAAATCATGGTCAGGGTTGGTGGTGTTACAGGAGTCGATCAGGTATCTTAGAATAGAGCTTCTCATATTGAAAGAAATTTTCTTGTCCATGTGGAAAGCGTCCTTTGTCTGCGACAAGCATACATTGTTCCAGAAGAGCAGGTGAACTGATAGATTCACATGTAGGCTGTTAGACGAGGGAGCTTGTCTTGTACCGAGACGTAGAACAACTTGTGGCTCGCAGATTTCGTTTATAATTTTACTGCAAACAACGTCTTTCTGATTGATTTAGAGAGACGGTTTCTGAACGTATATGAAACGTGATCAACACTGAATTTCAAGTTAACGAAGAAGGTTTTCTTTCGAAATGAGTTAATGCCCAGTTTTTGAACTGCTCAACTCTCGTGTTTCTTTCAATAAATAGGTTCGAGCAACCGTTTTGTGTGAGTATGGCTTTTAGGAAGTCAGGTTCTGAGTCAACGCAATCAGAACTACAAATGTTTCTTATCGCAAAGCACAGAGAATGAATTAGGTTCCTTATCCTGAAGATAGGCACCCCACTATAAAAGTTAGTTAGTTGTCTGTTCCATGTACATTTCCGGTGGATATATATGTTTTGAGAGTTCTATCACTGCCTGCACTAATGCACGCATCAGAAAAGAGGAAGCTGAGTTGAGATTCATTTTCTATGGTGAATCAAAAAGGGGGATAGCAGTCACTGAATGCAAACAAGATATCATCAAGAATTACATTCTTATTGCAGATAACGACTGTTTCGAATAAGTATTTTCTATAAGTGTCAAAGTGACATATGGCTTGAGTAGGTTGAACCTTTTCAGGCTTTACCATAAAGAGTTTTATTTCAAGATAGAAAAAATCCCCATTTAGACATTTGGAAAGCAAAAGGATTAAGCGAAGAAATATTTACTTTACAATTAGATCCTCATCACTGGCTCTACTCCATTATGTCATACATAACATTTTTAATACAATACACAACATTTTACCAATCAATTGGCACTGATATGTTTGTTAGAAGTAATTAGCCAGTATCAGTATCAACATGTCAAGGGGTGGTAATTAACGAAGAAGATTAGTACACACAATAAAGGGGTAGAAATGGCTGCAACAAGTGGACGACATAATGCTTAATTTTAGAAAAATGAAGAATAATTAAGGAGTAAGCAAGTGCTGAAGTTGGTTATGTGACAGATAGAAATAGAACGGTTCGGACAATGATAAAATGTCAATAAAGATGAAGTAGTGAGAAAAATACTTTTGACAATTATAATTTTTAAAAGGTTTAGTGGGAAGGTGAATTAGTCTAGCTTATGCATTCATTTGACGATGGCCAAGGTAAGGAAAGTGGCTGTACGAATTTCTTCTGTGCACACAGATTTGGCTTCTTCAGGTGGATTCCTATGAATACAGCCGTATGTGGTAGACAAACTTGCAAAGCAGAATTAGACTTCATATTTAATTACAAGTTGTCATTGAACAAGTCGTTTCAATTAAATGATAACTGTGAGAACCTAATGTGTTAACATATTTTTAATAAAAAGAGTGATAGGAGAAATCAACATTTATTAGAGTTGAGAGCTTACTGCGGCCAGCCTCTAGGAATGCAAATAGAAATGAAATCGTTTATGAAGGGAGCATTATTTAATATACTGTTGGAAATACTTTGAATCATTTCAGATGCAGAGCACAGACAAGTACAATACCGGCTGACACTTAAAAAGTTGGATATATTGACAACCACATATATGTTGTACTTGTTGAACTGTAACGCTGACTGTTCTTCACAGGGACTGTAACATTAACAATGAATCTCACAGGTAAACTGCTGTATACACTACGGGATCAATTTCACGAAACTTTATTTCACTGTTGTGGGTTGAACTTAACATAAATCAAGGCAATGTTTAAAATGTTTCCAGTTTTACCTAAGATATTAATATCAAGACTATTGTCTTGTATCACGTTTGTGTTTGATGTTATCTGGTTGGAGCACAGTGTCATGAGTATCATAAGCATATATTCATCTTATCCTCAAAACTTTAAGCTAAACTCATACGATTGTTACAATTTTCTGTGATGATTATGAAATTCGATGATTTCGTGTGTTTATTTGCATAATTTCCCTTGGAAGTTTAGGTTGCTGTAAGTGGGACTTTGGTTCTGAGAGTCTTTAGTGTCATGCTGACTAGGCAGTAGGTATCTACATATTTGCTCGTGACACAGAAGAATCCAGAGGTTGTTCAAGTGGTAACTAACTAACTTCGGATTGAGTAGCTTTATGATTAAACTGAATACTGATCCTGACTTCTTATACATTCAGCA